CAAGAGTGTCTGCCTCATATCACAGTCTTTATATTTATCTTGTTTAGCTCCTTATTCTATTATATTCAGGTTTTCTTACAGAGGACTCTACTATTTTATTTAAATCGCTTTATGTTCAGCTCCTTAATTTTATACTATTTTAAATGTTTAACCCTTGTTTATGCTGTGTTTTATTTTACTGAGCTGTTCTTCTACGTTTAAGCGTTGTTTGCTATAGGTCAGCTTTAATGTTGTGGCTCCTATAATGTAGGACTTCCCCAGCTTTGTGATGAAAACCACTTGTGCCAAGATTTTACAATGATGCTGTGTAATAGTTCCCGCAGTTCAGTTTCCTGGGATTGTTAGCCTGCTGGCCTGTCGATCCCACTCGCAGTTCAGATTATTTAAATCTATGTGCCTGAGGAGGAAATTAGTGGACATGGATTACTTTTACTCTTATTGGACAAAAAGAAAAACTGCTACAGGACAGAAACATCTGCATTATGCTGCTAACACAACAGTCTCTTTGCGAGCAGCTGCACAGACAGCATGCTAACACTAATGTTAGTCAAGAAGAATGGTAAGTATGCGAAATATCTGTAATTACTGTTGTTCTGGCACAAAAAAAAAAGAAAATGCAAAACACTTGTCAAGATAGGAATAGGTTTACAGTCCTGTTTGTAGTCGGAAGACAAAAACAGGCGCACAGGTGACCTTTGCTAACAAATTGTTTTTATCATAAAAGTTTTTAACAAAAATATTTTTCTCATTTTATCTCTTTCTGTGTTACAACATGTATCGGCAGCATCCAGCCTTAGTGTGTGTTAAACAGATTGTTCCAAACCACGGCTCTAAATATGCGGATCAATCCTCTGTTGTTGTTAGCATCCGAGGCTAACACGCGGCATGCGGCATCACAGCAGCCAATGACAGACGTAGAGGAGGGGCATACCATCAGAGAGCATTGTGGGTACTCCAAAAGTAATTATTTATGTCACTTCAGAGCTCGCAGACGGTGTTAATACACCGAACAGTACTCGTTCGGTGTCACAACTACGATACGTGACCCAGTAAACATAAGCAGCACACACTGCTGTTAGCACCGTGACAGAGATGGACAGAGCCGTCATAGTAGTAGCTGGGTCGGGGCGGTTGTTCGTTAAGACTATACTTTCAGGGATCATTTCTATAGTTTCTAACTTGAGAAATGTGTTTCTAAAGTGTGTGGTCTCGCTAACCACGATGATGAGTTGGTGATACTCCTCCTTGAGCGCGAAGCGGGCCGAGAGACTTGATTCAATTCATATGCTCTTTGCTTTTGATGACCGTTCACTGTTTCTTCGGAAACAGCGATGGGAGGAGTATGATCAGAGTGGTTACGAAATGATGTTTAAAATAAATTGTTAATTCTATTGGTGGCATAGTCAGCAAAAGTTATCTAAGTATGTTGAACTACTCGATTTTGAGTCACACCAAAAACCTCAAAGCATGTCTGTTATGCGTAGGTGTTGTGCGTCCTAAAACGTTTTTAATACTACTTGGATAAATCTTGATACCAAAGCCGCTTTGAATTTACAAAAGCTAACAGTGAAGTAGATTTTTTATTTTAGATTGTTTTCATGTGTTTTTACTGTGATATATGTTATGTAATTTATATAGATATATATATACTGTCCATATATTACTTTATGCTTTAATTTTATATTTTAATAATTGCACCTACTCAAAGATTTAGATTTATCTTTA